ATATGGTTCTTTATGAAGAAGAAAAATCAAAGCAGAAACATGAAAATGTAGGAGGCTATGAAGAGCAAATATGTACACTTTTACTCTGAGTGACCAAACACTTGGTGGGGCTTCCCCTTCCCCTTATCATTTGGGCTCCAGCTCCTAGGTTATTCAGCAACCCTGGCTGATCTAGCCAGTTCACATTCATTCCCGTTGCCATGCTCAAAAATTGTTTCATAGCACAAGCCAACATGTAACCTACTGCTGTGGAATATTCCTTCTGTACATTGTGAATATTTATCACTCAAAATGGTTAATAATGAAGCTGACTTTCTAATAGCCAAATAGGATAAAATTAGGTAGGAGAGCCAAACTGAGAATGATGGGAAGAAAGGCCATCTGCTAACCAAGCAGGACATGTAGAAAATGAGGTAACAAGCCATGAGCTACATGGTAAAGCATAGATAAGAAGTATAGGTTATTTTAAATGTAAGAGGTAGTAAGAAGCCTGAGAATTTACAATTAATACTAAGTTTCTGAGTAATTATTTGGGAGCAGTCATGGTACAGGAAAACTCCACTTAAAACAAACCCTTTATTTTTTGGTCCTTTTTGTTGGTTCTCTTCCCTAATAGAATATAAGGTTGTGAACTCCATGAGAGTTGGGACTTTGTTTTGCTCTGTGCTCTGTTGACCAGCATAACAGCTAGTATACTGTGGGTGTTTGGTGGCATACCATACATAGCGTAGATAGACTCTTTAGTTTGCTTTTTTGGTTCTAGGGATCAAATTCAGAGCCTTTATGGTGGCAAATGTTCTACCACCTAGCTACACCACCAGTTTGCACTGAGTTCTTGATTAGGCTTTGTGCAGCCTGACCTCACTAGGTCAAGACTCATGAGTTCTCCCTGTCTGCTCCTGTAGCCTATGGAAAGGAGACAGTAGAGTTGAATATGAAATGGGGCCACAGAAAGAGGTGGCTGCAATTTTAGATAGTTGTTCAAATGGTGGGAGGATTAAGTACTCACTTCAGAGACAAGCAAATTACCTTGGCCTTGCAGACCATTATGAGAAAGTAGCAGTGAACTTGGGCAGTGGACGGGGGGTGTCCTCAGTTGCATGGTCTTCAGGCTGTGAAGGGTAGAGAACCTTGGCTTCTGAAAATACTATTTTATCCTGGCAACCACCCTGCCTTGTGATATCACACAATGAAAATCTTTATGTGAATAGAGTAGGCACCAGTCATTAGGAAGCATCTGCACTCGGGTGCATCCTCCTTGGAGGAAACTGGAAGATTTTTTTTAAAGATTTATTTATTATGTAAGCAGTGTGTATCTGTCTGCAGACCAGAAGAGGACATCATGTCTCATTACAGATGGTTGTGAGTCACCAAGGTGTTGCTAGGAATTGAACTTAGGATCTCTGGAAGAATAGCCAGTGCTCTTGATCACTAAGCCATCTCCTCTGCCCTCTGGAGGAAGTTTTGTGCCACAAAGAGGTAGGGTCTGTGCAGGAGAATTGGGTGCCTGCATGGATATTCCATCCAAATTATAAAACGAGCTAAAATTCATCATTAATTCTGTTTTTTGAGCTACGAAGCATTGCACTGTGAACTGGGTACTATTTTTTTCCTGGCATTTTCACACGAGCAAACTGAAACTGAGGGGATTTAAGTGAACTGATAAAACTCAAAAATCTAGCTTTAGAGTTCATTGGGGTATCTACAGGTAGGGAGGTCATAGGCCTTAGTGAGGAACCTGTTAACAGTTGTTTTGACAAATGGACATGTCAACATCTCTTCTTACATCCATATTTTTATGTCTATATATCAGTGTGCTCTCAGCCTTTATCAAAGAAGCTTATGCAGGCAAGGGTTAATGCAGAGACTCATAATTGGTCCAAGTGCTGAGGATAACTGATGCTGGGTGAAGTGCTTAGTCCTAAATGGAACATCCATATCACTTCCTACAAAGCTCAGGAAGCATCCTGGAAGACTAATGAAAATAGTGTAAAAGTTTGAGTATGGGGAGGTATGTTGTAAAAGAATTTTCTGAACATAACATGGTCATTGTACTCATGAATTCAAGGCATCTATGGTTACTCTTAGAGGCCCTGCACAGAATTGGCCTGAGGGCATGTCATCACTGATTGGGGAGGGGCTCACAAGGCTCTACTCCTTCCTGAAGAGCTAGAGGCACTTAGTAGTTGATGTGTATATGTGCGGAATTGTGTTGGTTGGTTTTTGTCTACTTGACACAAACTTAGATGTATTTGAGAAGAGGGAATCTTAACTGAGAAAATATGTAATATTGGCCTGTAGGTAAGTCTTTGGCATTTCTTTTGATTAATGATTTATGTGGAAGGGGCCAGCTCATTACTGATGAGGTTAGCTGTTGACAGTTGGTCCTGGATAGTATAAGAAAGCAGGCTGAACAAGCAATGAGGAAGAAAGCTAGTAAGAAACATTTCTCTATGGATTCTGGTCCAATTTCTACCTCGGGGTTCCTCCCCTGTCTTCCCTTGTCAGTCCTTATTTATTGCTAAAGACATGATACACTTAGGACATAGGACTTGAATGATTCAAGCTGCATCTAATGCAAAAGCTTCCATCTTGAGATCTAGCTTCCAATAGTTCCAGAAAGTATTATGCAAGCTGCCAAGGGAGGGAAACAATTATTAGTCCTTACTAGCTGTGACACCTATGAATCACAATAATGATCAGCATGGGAAGATATCCATAAAGATACAATAGTGGCACTCACATGTTAGTAGTAACCAACAGATGTCTAATTGGACTTAAAGCCCACTCAACAGGGAGGAAAACATGTCTGGTACTATTACCAGCCAACTACCCAGGGTTAATAAGGTCATGTATCTTAGATGTGCTACTGCCATTTTGTTAGGTTAGCATAATTCCTAATTACATTCTAAATATTAACTTTCTACCCATAGATAATTATACTTATCACTTCTCATCAAAAAAGATTTTATTTTTAGCAAATAGAGACCAATATAGAAAACCACAACTGGACACACTACAGAGATCAATGACTGGTGTGTATTCCAGTTCCAGTAGCTACATCTACGCCACAGTCCCTGCATCCATGGCTCAGAAAAAAATCACAGAAGAGGGGCAGAGAACTTGTAAGAAATAGAATACCAGGAAGTCTGCTGTGAGACCATCTTTCCTAGAAATGGATTTACAAACAAGAGCTAAGCAATGGCATTACCAATAAACATACCAACAAGGAAGAGATAAAAAAAAAATCTCACAAGATCCTGTCCCTATACAAAGAGCTATAAGCAGCTGATGATTGCTGAGAGAATGAAAAATAGCTAGAGATGTGTCCCTTAATTGTTTATCTGATGAATTTAGCACATCTCCAGGGACAGACCTGATTTGGATCAGTGAGGAAATGAAGACAGACAGACAGGGTAATTTGGGCTTGAACTGAGAGGTAGAATTACTGAATAAAGCTCAAGAGGAAGGGGGTAGGACTATTTTGTACAATTAAGGAGGCAGGGTTTGTATCATATGGATGAATCAAGGGGACAGATTTATCTGATCTTGGTAGGAGCAGTCTCTGGAGGGGAGCAGTCTTCAGCTCATAAACATCTGGGTGAAGAAAGCTTTGGTGGACATTTTCTTCATACACAGTCAACATCCACACTTGGACCAGAGGAAGGCTTTGCCATGTTCCTGAGCCTCGCCCTCCTGGGAAGAGGTTGCAGGGGACATGACTGTCATTCCACAATCAGTCTGAGGCTCTGAGGTCCTGGAATGTCTGTGTCCATGTCAACAACATTCATTCACTTGGGACTTGACTACCTCAGAGCTTTCTTCTCTCCCTACAGTTACCTAATACTATGTGGTTAACCCCCTAGTATAAGCATAAAACAACGAAACAGATCAGCATGTTATACTTAAATATTGGTCGCTATTTATCTTCTATCTATCTAATCCATCTATCTATATCTATCAACTATCTACCTTTATTATCTATGTGTATAACATGTATGTACATACACATGTAATAGTAATGCATTATATGTAACAATAAAGAAAACAAGATAGCAATTTGAGAGTGGGGGACATGGGAGTAGCTGGAGGGAAGGAAAGGGGGAGTGCTATATTTAAATTTAAAATATTAAAATAAGTTTCAAAAGAGGTTGACAGAATTATGATCAAAGTACATTATATAATTGTGTATTTATGTGTAATATATGTGTATATATGTCATATATATTTATAAGAATTTATGAAAGAATAAATTTTAAAATATTTAGAATCCAGACTGTCTTTTAAAAACTAAGCCTGGACTATTATTGCCTGCTGCTTTCTGTGCAGCCTTCTATGTTTTATTGTTGTGATTTGTTTGTTTTGAGGCAACATTTCATGTAGCTCAGGCAAGCCTTGAATATTCTAACTTGATATGTAGCTAAGGATGACCTCAAACTTCTGACGCTTCCACCTGCACCCCCTAAGTGCTGGGATTCTTCTGATTTATCACACTGAATCAAGATTCTTGCCCACCTCCTCCCTAATCTGCATTCTCCATGATGGCAGGAACCTTATCTCATTCCTGTCTGCCTTACTATAGGACTCCTGGCTCATTTAGTCAGTCACCTTGGCTTCTCTGGTTCCGGGAAGGAATTCCAAGGCAGCACCTTAAGCTGACCTCACACTGGGGGTTCTAAGTCAGAACACAGACATTCCATGAGAGGCAGAGCATCTCACTGGTCCAGTTGCTGGGCTGTTAGATAAGTATTTCTTTCTCGTACATGAAAAAGAACTGGTAATTTTAGAATGATGGACAAGGTTCAGATTTCTCCCTTTTTATTTTGGTTTTTATTGGAATGCCTACTTCATGTCTGCTTGCCTTATGCAGATGGTCTTTATCCTGCTGGGGAAACAGCAGGCTTACCAGGTAGCTTCAGCAGTGACCTTTCTTATTTCAGGGGGGCTAAACACTGGTTTCCAGGGAAATAAAGTTCACTGCTACAAGTTTTCTTTTCAAGGGAGTAGACAGTTACAAACACCAACAGCTCCTATAGGACAACCCAAAGGCATGTTTTCAATACTTCAACCAACAATGGTAACCACAAAATATACAAGTAAGTATTGCTTATTGAGATGAGGGTCAGAGCTGAGTGTGTGACATGTGGTATGGTGTGGCATGTATCTGTGGTGTGTGTGTGTGTGCATGTGTGTGTGTGTGTGTGTGTGTGCGTGTGCGTGTGCATGTGGAGTGTGTATATGGTAGCATGAAGGGTCCAGTGCTGGCTGTCTTTCCTCCCCTATCAGTGTACATAGCACCTTCCAGCCATTTGAAAGCTTGTCAGCAGGGTTCAGTTCAAAGCTGATAAGAAATCATTTGGCCAGACTTCATGGTTCACACTTTAAGATCCAGCCATCAGGAGACACAAGCAGGTGGATCTTTCTTCAGTTTTAGGCACTCTAGGGATACTTAGTGACTTCCTTTCTAAAAAAAAAAAAACAAAAACAAGCAATAACTACAACAAAAATGGTAAGAAATAATTTATCTTAAAACAGAGGAACCCAGCCTGATGATATTTGAAGTCATGTATGTCTCCTCTTAAGAGGAGAATGAAACTCCACTTCTATACAAGGGAAAGGCTCTGAAATAGACACAACTCATCTGTGTCCAGAGAAAGGCTATTATTGAAGGCTTCAGTAGTTCCGGCTTTCTGTCTTTAAGTACAACAGCTTTCAGCCATGTCTTTTCAAGCCCTTATCCTGGGAGGGAGTTTCTCAGATCCTGTGACGGCAAAACTAAGGTGTTACGTTTTGAAATCTCACAATCACAAAATGTGGCAGTGGATACAAGTAGGACTGCGTGATTTGGCAAAGTAGCTTATATGTCTACTAGGTACAGGGTGTGATTTATTAACATTTATACTTTTAGCTATCTATAAACCCTGTGTTTCCTTAGTCTGTTACCAATTTATCCCTGTATTTCCTAAATCTGTCTTAAACCAGTGTCTTCTCTTGGGTCCCCTTCAATGGCCTTATAGATAGACCAAATCCGAAGTTCCCAGAATCCAGGACAGATAAAGGTGAGTAGAGGGAACCAGAGTACAGGTGGGTATGATGTGGGGCTCTGGAGGGTACAGGCATGTGTGATCACTAGTCAGAACCTTGGTGCAAAATAGATTAAAGCCACTCCCTTTGAATAGTCATAATTGTGATACTACCTCTTGGTGTTCATAGGGGATTTGCAAAGAGACTGGAGACCAGAGGGCACAGGCTAAGTATGAGCTCCAGCTCCCTTTGGGTGACACATAATACACAACCAGCCCTCACAGCCCCCATGTGCACATTCCAGAAGTTTCTTTGCTCTTGGCTTTTCTTCTTGGAGCTTTCCCAAAACAACTTGCCTCAGAGTCTTCTTTAGACTTGCCTTGCTGTTCTTCCCACCTTAGAAGTTCCTTCTGGGTCTTTTCACATCTGTTAAATATTTGCCTGCTAGGAACCAATTCCTCACTCAGCACTCTTGTTTTGTAATCTTAAAAAAAAAATTTTGAGGATTCCATACTTGAGTATTGTATTTACATCATTTCCTTCCTCCTCCTTTCCAAACCCTCTCATGTTCTTCTATTACTCCCTATAAAACTCACTTTTTGAAATTATTATTATTAACACACATGCACGACTGAGTTCATTTAGTGTTCTTATGCACATTTGTCTAAGGCTGACCACTTGAGTTTGGATAACCAATAAGGAGGTTGGTCCCTGGAGAATTCAGATTCTGCCTATCTCCATAGCCATTGATTGCCTGCAGCTCTTCATCTATGGGCTGGGATTTGTGAAAGGTCAACTGGCATTGTCATTGTGCAAGTACTGTTTAGGCAACCATATTGTTGAGACTTCATGAATGCCACTTTTCTGTAATGTCTAGAAGACACTATTAGTCAGCAGAATCCTGGTTCTTTGGCTCTGTTTTCTGCCCCATTTTCCAAGATATTCTCTCAGTCTTATGCGTAGGTGTTGCATTGTATATGTACTAGTCTGGGCTGAACACCCCATAGTCACCTAACATCTGCATTTTAAACAGTTTTGGATGTCTGTAATAGTCTTCATCTACTGCAAAAAGAATGTTCATAGAAGAGGGATGAGATCTACATTTGAACTCATCTTTATTGTTTTATAATATACCTGGGATTTGGTTGAGTCAGATATGTAGGGGATTCAGACATGGAAAAGAGACAATGCATGAAACAATGCTAATCTCAAAGACAGATCATTCTGGAATCAAATATGATGTATGAGTATCCACAGTCTGGGAACAGACTCAGTTTATCTCGAATTCTGCATCCCAATGGGGTAACAGTCACATGAACTTTTTATAGTCCTAGAACAAAGATAATCAGGACATTTTTCAAATACATAGGTGGAAATATCAGGTTGATGATTTACAGCAAAGTGGATGAATCTTAGCTACGGACCTCAAATGCTGTCTTTGCCTTGTGGTTAGTGGAAATTAAGGGTTTTGTACCATAAGTTTGGTTATGTTGTGTCTTCATTCTCATTGAATTTTAGGAAGTCTTTAATTTATGTCTTCCTTGACCCAGGAATGGTGCAATTGTGCATTGTTCAATTTACATAAGTTTAGCATTTCTGCAATTTGTGTTGCTGTTCAGTTCTAACTTTAAACCATAGGGGTCCAATAAGATACAGGACTTTATTCCAATTTTTTTGTATCTGTTGAGGTTTTCTATGTTGCCATATATGTGGTCAATTTTAGAGAAGGTTCCATGTGGTGCTGAAAAGAAGGTATATTCTTTTGTGTTGGATGAAATATTCTATAAATGTCTGTTAAACCAAAATGGGACATAACTTCTGTTAGTTCCTTTGTTTCTTTGCTAAGTTTCTGTCTGGTGGTCCTGTCTAGTGGTGAGAGTGGGGTGTTGAAGTCTCCCACTATAAGTTTGTGGGCTTTTATGTGTAACTTAAGTTTTAGTATTGTTTCTTTTATGATTGTGGGTGCCTTTGTATTTGGGGCATAGATGTTCAGAATTGAGACTTCATCTTGATAGACTTTTGCAGTGATGAATATGAAATTACCTTATTCATCTCTTTTGATTGATTTTAGTTTGAAGTCTAATTTGTTAGATATTAGGATTTGTTAGATACACCAGCTTGTTTCTTGGGTCCATTTAATTAGAAAGCCTTTTCCCAACCTTTTACTCTTTGAAATTGAGGTGTATTTCTTGTATGCAGCAGAAGGATGGATTCTGCCTTCATATCCATTCTGTTAGCCTGTGTCTTTTTATAGGCAAGTTAAGACCATTGATATAGAGAGATATTAATGACCATTGATTGTTAATTCTTGTTTGTTTTGGATTTAGTGGTGGTGGTGGTATTGTGTGTGGATTTAACCACCCCTTTTTTTTTCTTTTGGTGTTTGGTAAAGTGGGATTATCTATTGCCTACATTTATGTTCATGCAGTTTTCCTTCCAGTACTTTCTATAGGGCTGGATTTGTGGAAATGTATTGTTTAAATCTTGTTTTCTCCATCTACAGTGATTTAAAGCTTTGCTGGGTATACTTTAAGGCATGTCTTTCTTTAGGTTGGAAAAGTGTTGTTCTGTGATTTTGTTGATTATGTTTTTGTACCCTTAACTGTATTTCTTCTATACATATTATTCTTAGGTTTGGCCTTTTCATGGTGTCCCATATTTCTTGGATAATTTGTGTTATGGATTTGTTGGACTTTCCTTAAAGTTTGTAGAACATCTACCCAGGACCTTCTGGCTGTCAGTGTTTCCACTGAGAAGTCAGGTATAATTCTGATAGGTCTGTCTTTATATGTTAGTTGGCCTTTTTCCTTTGCAGCTCTTAATATTTTCTCTTTATTCTGTAAATATGGTGTTTTGGTTATTATATGGCAAGGGGACTTTTTTGTGGTCCAGTCTATTTGGTGTTCAGTAAGCTTCTTGTACTTTTATAGGCATGTCTTTCTTTAGGTTGGAAAAGTTTTCTTCTGTGATTTTGTTGATTATGTTTTTGTACCCTTAACTGTATTTCTTCTATACATATTATTCTTAGGTTTGGCCTTTTCATGGTGTCCCATATTTCTTGGATAATTTGTGTTATGGATTTGTTGGACTTAAGATTTTCTTTGGTCAATGACCCTATTTCTTCTAGTGAATCTTCAACACCTGAAATTCTCTCTTCCATCTCTTCTCTTTTGTTGGTTATACTTACATCTGTAGCTCCTGATCATTTACCCAGCTTTTCTATTTCCAGCATTCCCTCATTCTGTGTTTTCTTTATTGTTTCTATTTCAGCTTTAAGACTTGAACTGTTTGAATTATTTCCTTCACTTGTTTGGTTGTTTTTTCTTGACTTCTCTTGCTTTCTTTAAGAGATTTGTTTATTTCTTGAAATTATAGTTTGTCTTTTCCTCCATTTCCTGTATTTTTTGTTTGTTTTCTTCTTCCATTTCTTCAAGGGATTTTTCTCATTTCCTCTTTGAAGGTCTCTATCAATTTCATAAAGTTGTTTTTAAGGTCCTTCTCTTCTGCTTCATCTGTACTGGGATGTTTGGGTCTTGCTGGTGTGGAGTCCCTAGATTCTGGTGGTGTCATATTGGTCTTTCTGTTGTTGAATGTGTCTTTATACTGTGGTCTTCCCATTCCTCCTTCCAGTGAGTGCAGGTTGGGTCTCTCCTCCTCTTGTCTCCCAGTGAGTGTAGGTGGGCCAAGACTTCAATGTCAGCAACTCTGAGTGGCCTGGCCTCTCCTGGTGTTCCCATCACCCAGAGGGTGTAGGCAAGCTCAAGCTCAAGTGCAGGGCAGGGGAGGGGTTAGACTGTGATGTGGGCTGATTCCTGATGGTCTGCTGCCCGAGTGGGTTCACTACACCCAAGCATATCTGTTGTTACTATTTTAAGATAATATCAGTAACTTGGAGTACAGGTGAAGGAGATACTGTTCCCCACTTTCCCTCATCAGCCTGAAGAGTTCCTCTAGTATGTTAGGGACTCTGCCTCAGTTCACATCAGTATTTGTACTTTTGGTGCTGAGCATACTAGGGATATCCCATTTATGCAAGAGAGTAGATTTTATTAAAGGTATTTTTGATAGGTTTAGGAGAAATAGAGGAGCTCAAAAGAAAGATGTACCTAAGTCTGGGCAGAGATTCCTCAATGGAGAGTTTTGACACTAGTCATATGTAGGGTTTTGGTAGCATTGGAAATTGCTATCTTATCACTGGGTGACTTCTGAGGGAGACCTGACAGAATTACCATTGAAAAGATAAGAGCCAAGGCTACAGGGATACAGGAAGGTAGGAAATCTTTATTACCCAATGTGTAGGGAATGAACGAGGGCCCTTCCATAGGTCATATACATTCAGGCTATAAGCCTAGGTCACGGCTATCTTAACATGAACTACGTATATATGAAAGGAATGTTGAAGCTTGGTTGGCAGCCTTCACAAAAAGAATTAATTGTACTGGAGTACTTACTTCTCAGCTGTCCATGGGCTTTACTCAGACTCCAGAGTGAGGGTCCCTTTCTCTTACGTGTCCCATAATTTTCCTGTCTTTCTACCCTGCCTCAATAGGGTCTCACTCATTCAGTTGCCCAAGCTTGTTTTGAACTTAACTTTATGGCCCAGTGCTGGCCTTGACTTGCAACCCTTTTGTCTCAACCTCCTGAATTGTGCTACCAGGCCTGGCAGTATTATCAAAGTCTTGTTTAGAAGCTGGTAATGATTGTAACATCTACAGGGAGTGATTCTTAGAAATATAAAAATGGCTTGTGAGATGGCTCTGGGGAATAAGGTGCTCACTGTCAAGTCTGACTCTGAATTTGGTCCCCTGAACCCACATGGTGGAAGGGAAAATGGGCTCCCTTGAGCTGACCTCTAGCTTGCATATGCATTACATGTAGCATAAACACACATACACACACATACACACACACACACACTCAGTAATGAGTATATGAGATCAAAATTTGTTTTTAAAGTATAGAAACAATATCAATAGGTTTTAAGTTGGAAGAAGTGAAGAGATAGGTTCATAATAAAGGATCTGAGACAAACTGCCCTTCAGGGTAAGAGATGTATTAGGTGAGTATCTTAGTTACTGCTCTATTGCTGATGACTGAGGCAACTTATAAAAGCATTTCATTGTGGGGCTTGCTTACACTTTCAGAGAACTAGTCCATCATCATCATGACTTGGAGTATGGCTGCAGGAAGGTAGGCATGGTGCTGGAGTTCACATCTAATCTACAAATTACAGGCAAAGCCCTGGTGGGGCTTTTGAAACCTAAAAGTCCACCCCTAGTGACATATCTACTCCAACAAGTCCATACCTTCAAATTCATCCTAAATCCTCCATCAACTAGGGACCAAGCATTCAAATAGAAGAACAATGGTGGGCCATTCACATCAAGTTACCACAGTGAGTTATAGTGACGCAAAGAGTATGGTGCAGTTCTGAAAATGTCCATTCCACCAGATAAAGCATGACTCTCCCTCTTAAAAGTTTTCATGGTATACTACTTGCTTGTGGTCAGGCTGCCTTAAACTCTTCATGTACCAGAGGGAAGGACGAGAGACTAAAGGCTCATAGTTGATGTGCCAGCTTTCATAACAAAGGGAGAGAAAAGCTTTGGTGGAATACTTCTGAAATTCTCATTCTAAAAAAAAATGCTTTAACGTTTTACCCAGAATGTCGAAATACTAATAGTGCTTACTTTTTCTAAAATTTATTTTATTTTTTTCTGAGGCAAAGTCTGGAACTCACTATGTAAACCAGGCTAATCTTGACCTCATAGTTATACCAGCCTCTGCCTCCCTACTGTTGGGATTGCACCACCACACCTGATTGGCATGTATTTTAATGGTGCAGGGGAAGGCAGGATGAAGGCCTGGTACCTCTGCCTCCATTGTGTTTTTCTCTTTTACTTTGGGTCAGATTCTAAGGGGCATCTGTCAATCTAACCTACATCATCCACCTTCTTGGACTAGAGTTGAGAAAATTCTGGAAGGACTACCTCATCTAGGATGACTTAATTGGTCTTACCCTTGGCTCCAAATTTGCCTTGATTTAAACCTATTGCACATGTTGCTACTCCAAGGATGAACTTGGGGGTCACTGGAACCCTTATTTTTCCCACTTCCTAATACATTGATTGGCTCTCTCTACTTTCCATCATGACTGGTGTCTTTAACATGCATTTTTAATAGCATATTTAGGTGATCAAGACTAACTTGTTGGGGCTGCAGGTGGTGGGGCTTGTGCAGTTACAAAAAGACATGCCTGTTTCTCATCCCCTATTTGTACCAAACATCACATAAGAATTTCCTCAACTCTTGCCTCTTGTTTCTCAATTCTGCTTTAGTCATTGCCTCTGCACAAGACTACTAATGCCTCCTTTGCCCAGGCTAATAGCCCCTTTTCAATTATTATTATAACCAAACTATCAGTAGCCCTTATTAAAGGCATGCAGGAAGTTTTTCAGGACTATAGAATGGACCCTATATGCCCCACATCCCATCTGTGTAGTTAGTACTTTCTTTACACTCCTGTTATTTTCATAGGCTTGGTTGACTCTGCTGAGGTCTAAACATCAGGGCATTGTTCAGTTCTATTAGGGAAACACCTCTTTCTTCCCCAGTGGAGCAATAGGAAGAGAGAAAAGACAAGTGTGGCATAAAGGGTGGTCACCTCAAGTGGTCAAGCTTTACAAGTGGCTGTAAAGCTTTTTAAAAGTTTGTACAAAAATAATTCTTTATTTTTAAGTTTCAGGAACATCACAGAATAGTGATACACCTGAACTTACAGAGACCACTCAAGAGTTCATGGCACATTCTGCAGTTCCCAGGTCCAACTCATGGAATGCAGGTATCTGGGATTCCACCATTAATTACCCTATAGTTTCCTTTTGTTAGAGCATTTTACACCTTGAGACCATAAGACAGGGTGAAACAGGATAGGTGACTGGTGACAAGAGTTACTATCAAGGGTTAGTATATTTATGGGCAAGGAGTCAGTTTATCTACAGATTACAGTTTGATGTGGGTCAGTAAATCTATAGGTGATAGGTGTTGTTATAATGACATCCGTAGTTTAAGAATGAGAGCTTGAATTGGAAGTGACCACAAGAAGAAAATCTTGGCTTTGGGGAAGTAGAATTGAAGACAAATTAAAATTATTGCATTATTAATGAATTAAAATTTGTCTATGTGTTTCTGTGTGGATGCTGCCTGTGGATAGGCATCAGAGGACATCTTTTATGACTTGATTCTCTCCTCCATTCTAGGGGTATCAAACTCAGGTTTTAGGTTTGGTAGCAGGTGCTTTGTTACCTGCTGAGTCATCACTCTAGCCTCAAAATTGTTTCTGTACATATGGGCTCTACAGTCTCACATAAACATTTTCTTTTAAGACAGGATCTCACAGAAATCCCCTTGTCTGATATTAAAGGCATGTGCTAAAATACCTGGCAGTATTTTTATCCTTTGAAAATTGATGTTTATTCAAAAATAAGGAGGGAGGGGAGGAGGAAGGAGGAAGAAATGTTCATTTCTTGGGTCCCTTCTCTTCTTTCTTCAGTTTCTCAGAATTCCAAGACTGAATCCTAGCTAGGGCTAGGTAGCAAGACAGTCCCTCAAGTGAGATCAGCAATATTGAGGGGCACCTCTTCAGTGGAGGTGTTATAGAGAGTAGCAGTGTCTTGAAGAGTCCTCTTGTCTTCTTTCATCATGTATACTACGTTTCTGTTGCTGTGATATAATACCATGACCAAAATCAATTCATAGGAGGAAAAGTTTATTTTGGCTTAAGGCTCCAAAACAGAGTCTGTAATGGCAAGGGAGGCATGACAGTTGATATCCATGATGACATGAAGCTGAGAGAGAGGGGGTGAGAGAGAGAGAGAGATCACATCTTTCACTGCAAATGTAATACAAAGAGATAGCCTCAGAATTTTGAGTTCGGGGGCATGAAAGGGAGGGAGGGAGGGAGAGAGGGTGGGAGGAAAGAGGGACAGAGGGAAGAAGGGAGGGAAGGACAGGGAACTGGGATCAATATGTAAAATAAGAAAAATAATTTTTAACTAAAAAAAATTACGCAATATATTTTGATCATATCATTCCCCCAACTCTTCCCAGATCCTTCCCTACTCACCCAATTCACATTCTCTCTCTCCCTCCCTCTCCCTCTCCCTCTCTTTCTCTCAAAAATACCCCAATCCCCCCAAAACTAAAATAGAAAATCACATTTATTAACAACAAAACCAAACCAGATAAGACAAAAAATACCCCCAAACAAAACAAAAAATGTATTAACAAAATATGGAGTATGTCTTGTGTTGGCTAGCTTCTCCTGGGCATGGGGCCTGCCTTGGAGTGTGGTTAATATACACAGTAACACTTCATTGGAGAGAACTGATTTTCCCTTTGCCAGCAGGTATCAATTACAAATAAGTTCTTGGATAGGAGTGGGACTTTGTGTCTACTTCCTCTTCTCACTTCCTGAGATTTTATCTGGTTTAAACACATGCCGGTCTTGTGCATGCTGTCTCAATCTGTTTGAGTTCATGTGTGTATCAACTCTATGGGGTCTAGAAGAGTTGTTGCCATGGGTCATCTACCACTTCTGGCTTTTGCACTCTTTCTGCCTCCTCTGCTGCATAATCAACAGTATCACTCAGCTACAACTACAAGACTACTTATAACAGTGACGTACTTGTGAGATACACGGTGCATTAGTGGCACAAATGTTATGGGAGTAACCAACTACTTCTTGATTGGACTTAGGTCCCATTTCTTGACATGGAGCTCAACCTTGATTCTGTTAATGTGGTTAAGGACCAGATACTTGATAGGTTGTGGGTCCCAGTGGAAAACCTACTACTATTAATCTGCTAAAGGAACAGAAATAAAGTGATATACTACTATACCCATAGATCCTAGAGCATCATCTAACACTTATCAAAGAATCTTCTTACAATAGATTAGAATTAATATGGAGGCCCACAACTGGACAATGTACAGAGACTGAGAGACTTTGGAGCAATGAGCTCTAAATAAATGGGATGTCTATAACACCAGCATTTTTTCAAAATTACAAATATTATTTATAAAAGTATTCCCCATTTAGTGCTTCTTTCTTTTTTGTAAAAAAAAAAAAAAAAAAAAAAAAAACTCCCTATAGGATGTTGGGGGGGGGGGTAATAGAACTGGGGGAGACTGATAAAAGATGTCATTCTCTAAATATGTTTCTCATACTGGTTAATGAATAAAGCAATGTTGGCCAATAGGAAAGGAAGATAGGAGGGACTAGGAGACAAGGAGGAAAGAGGAAGTAGTAAGGAGGAGTCAAGATGGAGAGTCTGGAGAAGGCAAAACTGCCAACCGCCTCTCGCTGGTAAGACCACGTGGAAATACATAGAAATGGGTTAATAATTAAGACAGAGATAGCCGATAAAAAACTAGTACCTAGCCAACAGCATAATATCAAATACAGAGTCTCTGTGTGTTATTTGGGGCTGGCATGGTGGCAGAAAAAGACCAGCGGCGAGAGGAAAAGCCTTACTCCTTACAGGGGACAGGAGGCATGGGAGGGAGGGAAGAAGAGAGAGGGAACTGGGATCAATATGTTAAAAAAATTAAAAAATAATAAATATATCTTTAAAACTTCTTTTTTTCCATTTTTAGCAATAATTCCACGTAGACCTGGTCTTGTTCATGTAATTTCAGTTTCAAGTATAAGCTTTGCCATTGCCCTGATATGTGGACTCATGATCTCCTATATGATATAGTAAGTATATGCCAAATGACCCCTCATATTACTGACTAATAAGGCAGGAAGTACACAACGAAATTATTTAGTGTCAGAGGAAAGTAATGAAGATGATGACATTTCTTCTAATTACTAAATTATTATGGTCATAAAATATTTCCAGACCAGTGTATTCCAAAATGTGGGTTGCTGGTTATGCTAGAAAAGGAGAAGGAGGAAGAAGAGGAAAAGAAGGAGAAAAATAGGCCAGATTAAAATTTAGTGGAATTGAAATATCAGAACCTCCCCAATGTTGGTGTTAAAAAGTGTGTAGCAACACCCCTGGAGGTGTGATCCTTTTATGTGAGTCCTTGGGACTTAACTCAGGTCCTCAAGCTTGGGTGACATGTACTTTGTTGACTGACTGGTTTTTAAAAATTAGATATTAGGATGAAACTCTTATCATTTAAAAATATTTAAAATGACTACTACAAATAATGCTGCTATGAACATAGTTGAACAGATGTCCTTGTGGTATGAATGTGCATCCTTTGGGTGTATGCCTAAGAGTGGAATTGCTGGATCTTGACTTGTTCCCATTTTCCGGAAGAACCACCATATTGATTTTCACTCCCACCAGCAATGGAGGAGCATTCCCTTTTCTCCACATCCTCTCCAGCATAAACTATCCTTGGTGTTTTTCATTTTAGCCGCTCTGACAGGTGTAAGATGGTATCTCAGAGCTGTTTTGGTTTGCATTTCTCTAATGGCTAAGGATGTTGAGAAATTTCTTAAGTGCCTTTTGGCCATGTGAGATTCCTCTATTGAGAAATCTCTGTTTAGATCTGTACACCATATCTTAATTGGATTATTTGATGCTTTGGTGACTAGTTTCTTGTGTTCTTTGTATATTTTGGAGATCGTCCCTCTGTCAGATATGGGGTTGGTGAAGAGACACCATGACCATAGCAACTCTTTTTTTAACTTAATTTTTTTATTTAATTTATTATTTTACATGTTTATCTCAGTTCCCTCTCCCTCCCTCCCTCTTACCCTCTCTGCCCCCTCACATGCACCCTGACCACTTTCCCCTCCCATCCCCCCATCCCAATTCCACGTGTAGAACAATGCCAGCCAGGTGGGGTCATGTAGATCTGTCAGGTCATTTGAAGTGGTGACTAGGACTTCTCTCCTGTCTCTAGGTTAAGGCAGTATCCCTCCATGGGGGATGTGTATGCAAGGTCATTTTGTGCACCAGGGATACATCCTGGTTCCATTGTCTGAGGTCCCTTAGACTGCTCAGTCCTTCTGGCTGAGACCAGGGGGTCTGAATCAGTCCCATGCTGGCTTCCCAGCTGTCAGTCTGGTGGCCCGTTAGCTCCTCCTTGTTCAGGTAAGCTGTCTCTATGTGTTTCTGCAGCCTGGTCTTGGCCTCTCCCTTTGTATCTGGATTCTAGTTCAACTCAGTGTTTAGGTATGGGTGTTTGCTTCTGTTTCCAACAGGTATTAGAAGAGGGCTCCATGGATAAGTTAGTTGTTGATCTCACTATCTGGGAAGGGCATTTATGGTAGCCTTTCCACGGATTCTCAAATTGTTAGTTGGCGGCAGTCTTGTAGGTCTCTAGACATTTCCTTAGATTCAGTTGTCTCTTCAAACCACAATGGCTCCCTCTTTTATCTTCTCTCTCTCTCTCTCTCTCTCTCTCTCTCTCTCTCTCTCTCTCTCTCTGTCTCTGTCTCTCTCTCTCTCTCTCCTGTCTTCTATCCCTACCCTGATTCAATCTTCCTAGTTGCATGTGCTTCCTCTCCTCCCCCTCTCTTTCTCCTACCTCTCTCTCCATTTACTGCCCCCCACTTCCCCTATACTCTGGGGGACTTGTACCTTCCCACTTCTGTGAGGGACTTTGTATGAATCTCTTAGAATGCACCTTGTATCCTGGTGGTGTGAATTATAGGCTGATGATCCTTTGCTCTAGGTCTAAAATCCATATATGAGAGAGTACATACCATGTCCCTCTTTTTGTGACTGGGTTACCTCATTCAGGATGGTTTCTTCAAGTGCCAACCACTTGCCTGCGAATTTCAAGATACCATTATTTTTTTCTGCTGAGTAGTATTCCATTGTGTAGATGTGCCACATCTTCTTTATCCATTCTTCTGTAGAGGGGCATCTAGGTTGCTTCCAGGTTCTTGCTATTACAAATAATGCTGCTGTAAACATAGTTGAGCAGATGTCCTTGTTGCATGGATGTGGATCATTTGGGTATATGCCTAAGAGGGGGATTGCCGGGTCCTGTGGTAAACTAATTCCCATTTTCCTGAGCAACCGCCATACTGATCTCCAAAATGGCTGTATGAGTTTGCACTCCCACCAGCAGTGGAGGAATGTTCCCCTTTCTCCACATCCTCTCCAGCATGAGTTGCCATTGGTGTTTCTAATTTTAGCCATTCTGGCAGGAGTAAGATAGTATCTCAAAGTTGTTTTTATTTGCATTTTATTTGCATAGCTAAGGATGTTGATCACTGTCTTAAGTGTCTATCAGCCTTTTTGATTTCCTCTATTGAGAATTCTTTCTTCAGTTTTGTACCCCATTTTTAAATAGAGTTATTTGGTGTTTTGTTGACTAGTTTCTTGAGTTCTTTGTATATTTTGGAGATCAGCCTTTTGTCGGATGTAGGATTGGTGAAAATCTTTTCCCAGTCTGTGGGCTGCCATTTGGTCTTGTCCACTGTGTCCTTTGCCTTACAGAAGCTTCTAAGTTTGAAGAGGTCTTCCTCACCTTCCTCTATGCCTACTATTCTTAGGTTTGGCCTTTTCACAATGTCCCACATTTCCTGGATGTTTTGTGGTAAGTATTTGTTGGATTTATGATTTTCGTTGCTTGATGAATCTATTTCCTCTAGTTCATCTTCCGCACCTGAGATTCTCTCTTCCATCTCTTGAATTCTGTTGGTTATGCTTGCATCTGTAGTTCCTGATCTTTTGCCCAGTTTTTCTATTTCCAGCCTTCCTTCGGTTTGTGTTGCCTTTATTTTCTCTATTTCATTTTTCAAGTCTTGAACCGTTTCCTTCACCCGCTTAATTATTTTTTCTTGGCTTTCTGTACTTTCTTTATTTTCTTTAAGAAATTTGTTCATTTCTTCCACTGTTTTTTGTTTGTTTGTTTGTTTTTTCTTCCATTTCTAAGGGATTTTTCTCACATCTTCTTTGAGGGCCTCTATCATTTTTATGACAATAATTTTAAGTTGTTCCCTTCTGCTTCATCTGCTTTGTTTTTGTGTTCCAGTCTAGTTGGTGTAGATTCCCTAGATTCTGGTGGTGTCATGCTTATCTTTCTCTTGTTAGGTGTTTCCTTGTATTGCTGTCTTCCCATAGCTTCTTCCAGTAGGTGTTGGTGGGGTCTCTTCCTCTCTCTATGGTATTTCCCCAGTGGGCCAGCGGTTCGATGTCTGTAGCTCTGGGTGGTCTAAGCTCTCTAGGAGGTCTCTCCACAGGCAGGGGCTGGGGATGGGGGTCAGCGATCAGGCTCCAGCAGAAGATTGGGTATGCGGGTCAAAGATCCTGAAGGCTAGGACTCAGGATGTTCTTTGTGCCTATAGGCAGATCTAGCCTCTCCAGATGAGGCCTCTTTTGCAGAGGCCCTGCTATGGGGGTCAAGGATCCTGCAGGCAGGAACTCAGAGTGGTCCTGCAGAGATAGGCAGATCTCTGGGAGGGGCCCTACCGGCGGTGGGGAGGTCTGACACCAGGCAGGTGGAAATTACAGGTGGTCCCGCATGGATAGGCAGGTCTCCTGTGTTCAGGGCCTCTCCTGGAGGTTCCCTAAAGGTGTCTGGACCTTTGGCTCCACCCTCTGTCCCAGTGCTCAACCAGGGCGGTGGGATAGTGGGCAGGGTAGGGCACAGGGTAGGGGGAGGGCAGGCTCATGGTGGGTGTGGGTGGGGATGTATCAAAGCTCCAAGAGCACTCTCGATGGGGACAGGACACAGGAGCAGGGGGACCAGGGGCCAGCCCAGGGAGTTTCCCAGGGAGGCCGGGAGGGCGGAGAGAGGCCACCCGCCTGAATTGGTCCCAGACTCACCTCTAGCCAAGGCCTGGCGCTAGAGGACAAAGGCTGGGCTGATACTTGGGATGTTCTGCACAGATAGGCAGATCTCACTAGGACCTGGTACTCTCCAGCTGAGGCCTCTTTAGCAGAGGCCCTGGATGGGGGTCAAGGATCCTGCCGGCAGGAACTCAGAGTGGTCCCTCAGGGATAGGCAGATCTCTGGGAGGGGCCCGGGATGGTAGTGGGGGGGGGGGGTCTGAGACCTGGCAGGTGGAAATTACGGGTAGTCTCGCGTGGATAGACAGGTCTTAATGTGTTCGCAGCTACTTCCGGAAGTTCCCCAAAGGTGTCTGGACTGTTCGACCATGAAACTCTTATAAAGAAAAGTTTTTTAACTGGGGTTGGCTTACAGTTCAGAGGTTTGGTCCATTATTGTTAGGGTGGGAAGCATGGCTGCACACAGGCAGACATGGTTCTGGAGACGTAGCTGAACATTCAAAATCTGGATATTGCAGGCATCAGTAAGAGAGTGACTGGGCATAGCTTGAGCACTTGGAACTTCTGCGCCCACCCCCAGTGACACACTTTCTCCAACAAGGCCACACTCCCTCATGGCGTCACTCCCTATGGGTTGGTTTTTTTTGTTTTTTGTTGTTTTTTTTTTTTCATTCAAACCATATCCCACTTTCTGAAAACGCTTGAGTTGGCCCCTGCAGTTCAAATCACCTTTAACACCACTGTCTTTCATGCTTTTAATAGTTTGGCCCAATAAGTCATACTTAAAGCATTCCAGTGCATTCCTAACCCGAAGTCCCCAAACCCACATTCCTCCAAACAAAAACATGGTGTGTCCTATGGCAGCAACACGCCAGTCCCTGATATCCACTTTTGCCTTAGTCGGGGTGATAGGGGATGCCCTTCTGTCCCTTACTGATTGATGAATAAAATGCTGTTTGGCCAACAGAGGCAGGAAAAAACGTGGGACTAGGAGACAAGGAGATTTCTGGGAAAGGTGGGCAGAGAAAGACTGCCAAGAGATGCCATGTAGCTGCCAAAGGAGTAACAGGTCCAGGACTTGTCCAGTAAGCCAAGACCACATGCAAATACATAGATTTATAGAAATGGGTTAATAAGTAAGACAGAGCTAGCCACTAGGAAGCCTTAACAATTAGCCAACAATTTTATAATTAATATGGCATCTGTGTGTTTATTTGGGGCTGAAATGGTGGCAAGACCTGGCTGAGAAAGAAACTCCAGTAACATTAGCATTTCTGTTGCTCCAAGCTCCTCTACCCCCTCCCCTAGCAGGCCTGCATGCTTCCTCCAACAAGGCCATGTCTCCTAATAATGCCACTCCCTATGAGCCTATGGGGGCCATTTCTCATTGAAACCGCAAGAATGAATGATATTTTAATGTTGTGTTGTGTTATAAAATATCAATACCAAAATAGCCCCAGTTTACAAATTGACATCTTTCTGTGTGTGACTGAGTGTGTTGCTGAGCATAGCTGGAGGACAGGGTCTACTTTGGGTATCATTCCTTAGGTGCTATCCATCTTGTTTTATGAGATCTCTAGGATCTAGAGCTCACTAATTAAGTTAGATGTGTGGCCAATGAGGTGCAGTAATATGCCTGTCTATGCCTGCCCAGTGCTGGGTTACAAGTATGCGCCATCACACCTGACTCTTTATGTGGGTACTGGGGCTTGAACTCAGGTCCATACCCTTGTCTGTTTGCTGACCAACCTGAGTCCTTGACTCCAATTAAGTACAGGATCTGTGCTGAGTCATTCTGTAAAAAGAACTACTAGTCATGTCATACATTTATTTAAAATCTTGATTTTTTTTTTTTACTGTTGTTTTCTTGGCACTTTTATTTTTTATCATATTGCATCAATAGTGGTTTCTGTTGTAAATTCCTTGAATTGTGTATCTAGTCTAAGTATGTCACTCACATCCAGTCCTGCTTTAGTTATGAATTTTGGGACTATCAGAGTATTTGTTGACATGAATCAACTGGACCAGACCAGATATTTAAAGCCTCGCATAAATGTATATTTCTGCCTCAGTTCTATATCTACCAACTTGAATAAGCAATTTCTTTTGAGTCGAAAAATTTCTGTCATCTTGGCTGGAGTGATGACTCAGGGTTAAGAGCATTCCAGGTTCTTACCAATCACTAGAGTTTAGTTTCCAGCATCCAGATTGGGTAACTCACAACTGTTTATAATTCCAGATCCAGGGACTCTGATGCTGTCCCCCCGGTCTTCACAGGCACCTGCCACCACCTTCCCCATATACACATACATATAAATAAAACTTAAAACCCCTCACTATAAAACAGAATGAATATATATATATATACATATACACACGTACATACACACACATATAGATATATAGATATATAGAGATAGAGATAGAGATAGATATAGATATAGATATCCCTCACATTTATCTCTATCCTTCTCCAGTCGTCTGGTGAAAGCTGAGGAAAAACAGCAGCTTGCAATGTTGTATGAGAATGTGGAGATTCCACTTTTAGACGAAAAGGAGGCCTCTGAAGACGAAGGCCAGGATGAGTCTTCTGAACCACACTCAGAGAATGAGGAGCTGGGGAAGTTCATCAGCTCAGGTGCTTTGTCCTGTCAGATCCAAGGCTGGGATGGTGGCTTGGTTTTCCAAAGAAAATAGAGTCTGAGCTAAGAAAGATGAGTTCTTATGTGGAGGGCTCAATAGGTAGCTGTCCAGTTGCTTGATTTTCAATGTGGACCAAATCCAAGATTCCAAGACTGAGTTCAGGGGAAAAAAAACTTTGCTTTGAATGTAATTTTTCCTTAAAGATACTTATTACTGGTGCATTAATCCTGCATTTGTAACATCTGCATGTTGACGCTCCATTTGCCTCAGGCTGGTATAGAAATGGGTTCCAAGTCTATATAACAGAAATAATTTCTCCCACTGGAAGAACTCCATCTGAGACACAGGCATTTGTTAGATGCCTGCATATCTTTATGAAGAGAGGATGACATAAATACATCATAAGCTTGATTTTGTAAAAGCTTTCAGGTTAAAAATGTAAAGTTTGGCATCTGGTCCAAATGCAACAACATCCTTCACTTCATTCTTAAACAATGCTAGGTGTACCCAACCCGAAAGAGACAGAGACTAAGAGCAGAAGGGATGATTGATGGCTACTGAGGCTGACAGCCTTTGTATCCTACAGAAAATATTTTCCAATATCTTTTTGAGTTATTACTGTGTATTTGGAAAGTTTGAACACAGAATGTGATAATTTTAAAATTCAAATTTCAGCCAAGGGTGGTAGCTCACACTTGGGAAGTGGCAGGCAGTAGGATGTTGAATTCAAGGCCAGCTTGGGATGCATTGCAAGATCTTGTTTAAAAAAAAATAAAAATAAAAAGTAAAATAAAATAAAATTTTAAAATTGTCTCAATTAGATAAGTAACATTTTTTATTCTCCGAAAATGCTTTACTTTTTTCCATGATTCCCCCTCACCCCTTTGTCTTACTCAACAATATAATTTCTATATTTCAGTTATCAGAACAAAGAGAAGGGAAAACATTTTGAAGAAGCAGCCAAAGGGAGATCAAAATCTACCGAAAGAAAATACATCAGAGAGTTCCAATTACACTGAAAAAATGGATAACTATTACAAAATGGAGAAGGATGAAAAATGGGGGTATCTGTGAAATCAGAAGAAAAGTGTAGCATGTGTTGGACAATGTGGAGACCAAATCGCATGGATAACACATGATTGAGACTATGAACAGGATTTACTTCCAGAGAATCTTGTAGAAGAATACACTAGAAAAAGAAATGTGAGAAGTATATACCAGAAAATAAATTCATATGATACAGAAACTCTTGCTTCTTAGCTATGACAGTCCAATTATAACTTAAATAGGATACAGAAAACAGCCCAAGTTCACTAACAAGGAAGACAAATTGTTGAGATTCTGTTCTTTGATTCCAGAACAGAAATAAAGCTTAGTCCTTTGGAGAAATCCCCATGGCTGTGATAGCAAAATACTTTCATTAAAAAAAAAAAAAAAAAAACTCAGATTCTATAAATAGTTCCATGTAGTCAGTTCTTGAGTTTATCAGTCACACATTTCCTGTGGGTTATCTTCTCCCACAAAATGCACTAGGCACTTAACTAGAATTTGCTTTCATGTTGCTGGCATGGAACAGAGGTGGAGGATACCAATTTGGAGGAGGGGAAGCAGACTATTTCTGCACACAGTGTCATGGTTTTGACCTCTCAAGGGCTGTTCTTCCTAGGAGGCCCTCTTTATGTGAAATGTAGTTCAGTCTCGAGAGAAATTTTGTACTTGGCCAAAATCCAGCATCATGGGCTAGAACTACACATTTATGAAACATTTGGGAAACAGTTACAGTACACTGTATATCATCATCAACACCAAAGGCAGCACATTTAAGAAAAGCACTTCAGAAGCAAGGTGGACAAGGACTCATTGCTGAACACTTGCAGATTCCAGGTGTCTGAGAAGCTATCTTCTAGCAGAGAGGCTGGGGAGGACTTCCCCCTCAGCTCAGAACTTTTCTGGCAACAGTTTACTCACACAGGAAAGAAGTACAACAGCACATCTGAGGGTGCACTGGCCTTTTCCACTATGAAAGAGTCATTATAACTGGGGAGAATATGTAAATATTCAGCTGCCAACATGTTGTTGCTATTAACAGGGAAAGATGGCATTAGTGTAGTATATGTAAGAAATCTGACAGTACAATCTCTAGCCTTGGTGGTTAATCAAGAGTTCATACTTCAGAATATGGAGAATCCATAAAATCCTCCAGGCAAAGGCATAGTTTTATTGCCCACAAAGAAATTCACATGGGAGTAAGACCTCATCAATGTAATGAATATGGAAGATTTCCTAGTAGGAAGTATGAGCTCTTTAAAGGAGAATTAATATGGGTGAAAGGGCTTATGAGTGTAGTGAATGTAGGAAATCTTTTGTATAAAACAGTTACTTTTAAATTATTTTTATTAATTTGTTTCTCTCATATATTACACTCCACTACAGGTTTTCCCTCCTTCCTCTCCTGCCAGCTCCTACACCAACTTCCCTTCACCCCCAGATCTATTCCCCCTCCATTTCCCATCAGACAAGAGCAGGATTCCCAGGAATATCAACCCAGCATGACATAACAAGTTACAATAGGATTAGGCACATACTCTTATACCAAGACTGAACAAGGCAACACGGTATGAGGGAAAGTGCCCCAAAGCAGGGAAAGCAGAGATATCCCCAATCCCACTGTTAGGGAGTCCTGTAAAATCATCAAGCTAATAACCACAGCAAAATTACCAAGGACCAAGGTCATACACATGCAGGCTCCCTGATTGTCACTTCAGTCTCTGTGAGCCCCTATGAACCCTGGTTAGTTGATTCTGTGGGTCATGTTCTTGTGGTGTCTTTGTTCTGTCTGACTCCTTCTACTCTCTCTTTCATAGGACTCCCTGAGGTCCACTTAATGTTTGGAAAAATAATCACTTATTAAACACCAGATAATTCATACTAGGAAATGACCTTATGAATGTAACAGATATGGGAAATTCTTCACATGGAGGTCCCATCTCTTCTTACACCAGAAAATTCACAGTGGTGTAAGATCTAATGAGTGGGATAAATGTGGAAAATTACTTAATAACAAATCCATTCTTGTTATAAATGAAAGGATTCACACTGAAGATAGGCCTTATGAATGTACTGAATGTGGGAAGACCTTTAATGGGGCTTTACCCTTGCCTAGTCATTGGTGAAATCACATGGGAGGAAGGCCTCATGAATACAGTGAATGTAAGATACTCTTTAGGTACTACTCTAGTTTATTAAACATGAAAGAGTCCATACTGGAAGAAGGCCTTTATGTGACATGAGTATAGTAACTCGGCTACATTCACTGAAGACATTAGAGTGTACACAGAGCTCTAAAAGTTGTGCAGTGATAAAGACAGGGTTGTTGTGACTCAAATATGCCCCTTCAAAATATCTATTACTATCAGAGGTGTGGTTAGTAATAGAGTGTTTCCTAATATGAGTGAATTTCTAAGATTGATAGCCAGCACAAGGAAAAAAAGTTAAATCCCTAATCTGCCCATTAATTTGTTTATATATAGGGCTTTTAATAAGGTAACATGTCTCAACAGTTGAAATTAAGTACAGCTGTTGCAGAAGACCAGATTTTGTTCCTAGCACCCTCATCAACTGCTTCAAATGTCAGCTGTAGGGGAGCTAATATTGTTTTGAGGACACCATGGGTACCTTAACTCACCTCAACTCATTGGATAAAGGTCTTATGAATACAGTGAATACTTATAAATACAAGTGGCACCATGGAGGCTTCGTGCAGAGTAAGGGACTAGTAGGTGAATGTAGACCTCATTAGAAAGGGAAATAGAATGTTTACTTATGGATGGATAGAGGTAGAAGGGAGGATGAAGTGGGGGAGGGAGTAAGAGAGTGATGAAGGAGGGAAAATGGGGAAAGACAGCTGAGATTAAGGAGATTTGAAAGGTAGTGTGGAAACATAATAAGTAGAAGCCTCCTAAAATATGTACATATATTAAGGTAAGCTTAATGAAGTTGCCAAATAATGGAAGAGACAGAGTCCTAACTGGCCATCTCCTGGCACCAAATGTAGCATCCACTACTAGGATTGGGTTACATCTAATTGAATTGTTGGCCAAAGGGATGCCACGAGAATCTTTAAACAACCCAGATTGTTGCCAAGACTGTGGGCTGCTCTCTATAAAAAGCCAGCAAGGCCATATTGCTGAGGACAACCCACACACAAATCATTGAACATGGAGAAGCTGAACTAGTGCCTACATAGAGCCCTCACTCCTACATTCCAGCATCTTTGGTACAAGAAGGTACTGTACATGCTATCAGAAGAGAAGCCTAAACATCAACCCCACACTAACCCATTGATCTGCAATGGTGTCCTGCCTCTAAGATATGCTAGGACAATTGTAGCACAAAGCTGTGGGAGTAATCGATCAATATATGACTTTAATTAAGGTCTACATTATAATATAGAACCAGTACCCAACACTGTTTGGGTGATCAAGAACAAGACACTACAGCCCGGAGACCTAAAGTAAAACAATTACTATTGTTGTAAAAAAAAATAGCAATAAAATTACCCCTCATGGCATGCTTCTATTCTCATCAATCAATGGCATGGTCAGACATCATCAGAGAAGCTTCCTTTGCAGCAGATGGGAAGAAATAGAGATCAAAGACCAGACATTAGATCAAGAATGAGAAACCTTGGGATACTCAATCCTAAATGTGATGTCTTCATCAAATCCTTCTGTTCAGGGCTCAGGGAACCATGCATAAGAAGTGGGAAGAATCTAAGACCCAGAGGGGATGAAGGACACAAGAAACAAGTTTCTCTAAATCATCATGATGAAGGTTCAAATAAACTCACAGACTGGGACAGCATGCATAGGGATTGCACAGGTTTGTACCAGGTCTTCTGGGTGTGTTTTATGGTTTCCAATACGATTCCTGAGTGTATGAACAGTGGGTCTCTACTGGCCTGAAATATTTGCTGCTCAAAGAGGCTTCCCATTACCACCAAGTAAAGCACTCACTCTACTGTAACATATGAAATACCT